GGTTTTTCTTGTGTTTCTTATGAACTTGGTCTTAAATTTTTACTTCAAGTGGCATTAAAAAGTCTTAAAAAGTCTTGAATTTAACTTGCCTTACGCTGTAGGAACCCTGTTACTATAAAAAGGGGTTTTACAGTTATGTACAATAGCATATATATAGATGGGTTTTAATATAAAATGAATAAATAAAGTTTGGACAGAAGCTATCTAAATTAAAGTGCAGTGGAAGGTAATTGCATATTACAGTTAAAGTACTTTATTACAAATGTATATGTAAACAATTGGTAATGTGAATAAACAGTCGGCAGTGCAAATATAAGCAGTCGGCAGTGCAAATCAATATTTAGTCAAGTTGAGTAGTGCAAGATGCATGTAGGAGTTGTTACAATAGTAACAGTAATTTATGTATATTATAATACAGGATAAATGACAGATCATAGTGTAAGTGGTGTTGAATCTGGTGTTTGGAAATGTTATTATAATTGCTCATTTTTTAGTCATGCTTGAAAGATGGACAACAAACTAGAGTAAATCAGCATTTAGCTGCATGTGCCCAGCATTTCAGATGCTTCTGACTCCACTGGCTTACATGGGAAACTAAAGATTTTACGAACCTGACGCAAGAACCGCAGCTGTTCCGGAAGACTGTGGTTTTTGTCTGAAATAGCATCTCTCTGTAATAAATTATAAATTAAAAAAAAGACTAAACGAGGACATTTTATCCGTGGATTGTATTTTACATATTTTAAAGCGTTGAAAACGATGGAACGGAATACTAATCCTGGATCCTCAGGTGTCTGTCGGCTGCTCGGTCAGCTCCTCTTCCATTTTCACAGCCCGTAAATGAACATCTTAGTCAAGTGTTCAGCTACTTCTTTTCACATGCCATACGCTTCATTCGTTCTTTCAAAACCAGTTAGCTAACAGTTTAACTGGTGTCCAATTTCACCCATCATTAAAGCAATGTATGTCTGGGGGGAGAGGAATCGACACCTTCAGTAAAGGCTCATTTTAAATGTTTCTTCCTAACCTAATAAAACAAAATCAGTTCTTAGAAAAAAAAAAAAACGTACCTCTCTTTCGTAAGAAGGTGTTTCTAAATGACTCAACAGGCTGTTCCCCTTGAAGCCCAGTCTGCCTCAGCAGATGGCCGCTCACACTGAGCCTGGTTCTGCTGCAGGTTTCTTTCTGTTAAAAGGGAGTTTTTCCTCTCCACTGTCGCTACAAGCATGCTTAGTGAGAGGGATTGCATTCGACTCAATTAATCAATGCAATCAACTGGTTTTCCTTAGATAGAAAACTTTAAATCAATCCGACTGGATGATCTGGTGAACTGTAAAGTGCCTTCAGATGACGTGTGTTGTGAATTTGCGCTATAGAATTAAACTGAATTGAAGATTTTGAAAGTAAAGTGATTGTAAATGGTCAGATGTGGTGTTTCTCACTATATGTTTTTTTTTTTTTTATCTCAGTTGTTTCTACAGAACGTTGGAGTCGTAGCAGTGGCTGCCTCAGTCATCCCTCTCATCCTCATCCCAGTCATCCCTTTACTCTTGTTCTTCCTTTACTTGAGGCGCTATTACCTCCAAACGTCTCGGGATGTCAAACGGCTGGAGTCAACAAGTAGGTCCGCTGAGTGTTGGAGGAAACGGGGCTCTGTTTTTGCTTTTATATTATTTTATGTCATGTTTTGTAATCATTATCTATTTAATTAGATGACTTAAAACTATTATTTTTCAATCTTTTCAATTAATCTATTAATAAACTGTTAATATGCTCTATCCAGAGCTCCTCAAGTGGAAAAGTTTTAGTTTCACCTGATTTAATTTAATAAAAAATCTTCTCTAAGGAACCGTTGGCTATCAGATGAAAATGTTTTTTTTATCCTAAATGCAAAATGTTGATATATTTTTTTACAAATTGGATATAATTCGTGCTGTAGGTGGGTTGTTCTGTCAGCTAAAGGACTATTTTAGAGTCTCTATACTCCAGTTAACAATCGATTACTAAATTAGTTGACGTTTATTTAAATAATCGATAGATCTTGATTGTTTCAGACCTAGTCTGATTACTGTTACTTTTTGAAAAATATGAGAACTTGACCCAGAAATAAATGCCTGCCTGTTTATATTAGTGGGGTTGTAAAGCGGAGAGGCCTTACAACGACTTATCCGTTTGCTTTGCAGGAGTATTCATTGCTAAATGATTACACCGAAAAAACAATTTTTTTGTGGTGTTTTTTTGCAGCACATATTAATACCGTAATTTTCAGACTATAAGCCGAGACTTTTTTCTCATTTTTCAACCTTGCGGCTTATCTATGGACTTTTACAGCTAACAACCACTAGGGTAATACCTAAATCTATGAATTTTACCATCCACCATGTTGACGTCACATTTACTTCAACACACAAGTACGGTAGCCGCGCAAATGCGGCGGTCCTCCGGAAGCAGACTTCTACCGCGAGTGGTACGAGACAGAACGACAGCGAGAAAGACGGACATTGCGAGCGCAAGACAGTTTGTGTGACACCATCATTATGGAAAACAAACGTACCGGTTAATAAATGGGAGCTTCTATTGCACTAAATTGTAACAGTTAACATATGCAAATATGCAAAATCTGCTGAAATGTTAATAAATAGGAGCTTCCCCAAACAGTTGCCTCTTTCCCGACAATCCTATATGGTAATTAAACATAAAAAACCTGCGGCTTATAGTCCGAAAATTACGGTACTTATTGTGAAAGGGAAGCAAAACTGTGTTATTTCTGTAGTATTTGTTTGCATTTGTGTTCAGTTCTCTTGAATGTGATCCAACATTAAAGTTGTAACCCTCACTGTGCTTCCTGATCATGTGTTTCGGCATGTTGCATAAAGTTAAATACATGGAGGTTCAATGGCATGAAGAGTTGTATGAATAGTTCTGCTTCATTTAATCTCCCCGTGGCTTTCTCCTGCAGCTCGCAGTCCCGTCTTCTCCCTCCTGTCGTCATCTCTTCAAGGTTTGTGGACCATCCGAGCCTTCAAAGCAGAGGAGCGGTTAAAGAAAACCTTTGATTCCTACCAGGACCTGCATTCAGGTGTGATATCACATTTTAAGGGCCTTAACATTCCCAGCTAGAGGTCTGTTTTCTCTGTATGTTGGAGATATAAACCTTTAGGATTGCGACTCAGTATTTGAGTCCTGATTTCCTGCTGTTATTTGTTTTTTTTTTTAGAGGCTTGGTTTCTATTTCTCATGACGTCCCGATGGTTTGCTCTGCGCCTCGACAGCATTTGTTCCGCATTCATCACCATCACGGCATTCGGCTGCATCATCTTCAGGGACGGTGTGTGACTAGTTAATGTCTCACATTTCCACTCAGAGCGTTTCATGCTGAATCTTACGGCTGGCTGTAACAATATCTTTATTCGTCACGCTTTGTAGGTCTGGAGGCCGGGCAGGTGGGCCTGGTGCTGACCTATGCTGTGACCCTTGTAGGAAACTTTCAGTGGACTGTGAGACAAAGTGCTGAGGTGGAGAACATGGTACGTAACTGAAGTAGAGCTGGAATGTCAAATCTAGGTCCTTTGGGCCGATATCCTGCAACTTTTAGATCACCCTGCTCAAACAAACCTTAATCAGATTAATTAACTTCTCAGTTTAAATGAAGTTTCTCTGGAGTCCCAATTATTTGATCCAAGTGTGTTAAAGGAGAGAACCAGCCCTCAGGGACTGGATCCTGATGTCCTGTTTAAAGGCTTAAGATTCCTGAAACCGCTGTGTGTTTTTATGGGTTGCCAGATAGCTTATACAAGCACAATGCAGTCTGTAGCCGTGGAGTAGAGTGAGATATCCCTCCACTTCCTGGAAAACAGTCGGTACCCTATAGGAGGCCCTCTCAGTTGTAGTTACAGCTGCAAGGTATTTGGAGTATGTCCCTGCCCCGTTTGTTTCTCAGTCAGATTAGATCAGGGCTGTCCTAAATCAATCCTCAATGTTTTAGAGGTTTCCCTGCTTTAACACGCGTTATTCAGATAGTTGCAGTGCAGAAACAGTCGGATAAACCATCACTGGAAATGTAGAATCTTTCCACACGGTCTCCATCCTCAGACAGGGGAGTTTCAGGGTTCAAATTTGGAGAAATATTCTCCACTGGAATCAGGAATCCTTTGTTTCAAGTTAGGTTTAGTGACTGGGTTTTATTTTCCCAGCCTCTTCTAAGGAAAATTATCCCACAGCATGATACAACCACTGCCATGTTTCATGAATCATTTTTTTAGCTAATTCTTTACTTTACTTTTTAAAGCTAGATATTTCAAATAAAAGACCGTTTCTTGCACCCAAACCATAAATCTGTATATTTATTTTGTTTGTAGAGGTTTTTACGCTTATACTCTTTTCCAACTGTAATGAATGTAATTCTTCTGCAATCAACTGTTTTTGTATTCCATCTTTATAAAGGATTAAAAGATTGATAAAGAGATCTTTTCTTCCAGCTTTTCTCTTGTATTTTATTTTATTTCTTTCCCAGGCTGTCAGAAGAGTTTCTCATTATTTACAAAGCCCCAATTCTGCCTCCTGTGCCAGTGTAGGCTGGGCTCTGCCAGTTAGACATGTTTTGAATGATCATGTTATGCAACTATGACTCATTCTACCACTAAGAAAACATTTTTAACATTTTGTACCAAATGTGCTTTCTTTGAGGTCTTCAAAGCTAACTCCCATAATAAGCTTTTGGCATTTAACAACAAAGTTATGCTGATACTGAATGTAAAAAAAAAAAAAATCTGTCCTGTTTCCAGATGACTTCAGTTGAGAGAGTGGTGGAGTATACTGAGCTGGAGAGTGAAGCTCCATGGGAAACTAAGAATCGCCCCCCTGCTGACTGGCCCAGTAAAGGGATGGTGACCTTTGACAGAGTGAATTTCTCCTACACTCCAGATGCTTCACTGGTCCTTAAGGACATCAGTGCTACAATCGAACCCAGTGAAAAGGTGAGCCATTTCTTTCCTCATTGAGAAAGTGATGGAGCCTCAGGTGACCATCCGGTTCCTCCCAAACCAAGCTGTAAGCCACAGATTCGAAATCGATTTTTTTTTTGTATTATTTTATATTATTTTTTGAGTTTTTACAGCACCAGTGGCTCGTTTTTTGGACAGTAGGCTGACAGGAAAGAGGGTATGATAGAGGGGGAGAGACATGCGGGAAAGGACCACAGGTCGGATTTAAACTCGACGACTAAAGGGCCGGTTATACTCCCTGCAGCAGTGTGTCGCAGTGAGCTTGACGCAGACATTGTGGATTTATGCTCAATTTGGAAGTGTGGTCGCTGTGGGTCTAGATACGGCCGAGGCGGAGAGGAAGTGGGGGTAAGTTTGTGTGACAATGAACGGACATGGCGGCGAAAAAGAGCGGAGATCCAGGTGGAAAAAGGGTCCCAGCATTCTCACGCACCTCTCTCTTCTAGCGGGTCCAACTTCACGAGTTGTTTCCGCAATTGCGGTCATAAAAACAAATCAAGCCGGCCTCCTATCTGCAGTCACCTACAATTTCGTAGAGGTGCAGCAGAGTGTCTGCAGACAGCCTAGTTTTTAAGTATAAATCAGCCTTAAGGCCTCCATATATGGGTCGTGCAACCTGACCACTGTGCCACCTGCACGCCCCACAGATTTGAATTCTGACCCTTAGATTTCCGGCACAGGGCGCCCTGGAATAACATGGCGGACGAGCAACAGCTCCTGATGATGCACTGCAAAAAATTTAAATCTAAATAAGTATTTTTTTCCTAAAATAAGTGCATTTTGTTTTGAACTGAGTATAAAAGTTTGGCACTTTGCCAATGGAACAAGACAATTTACATTTAAAATAAGAAAAACGGGCGTGCTTTAGTGGCGCATTGTTAGCGCACACGACCCAGGTATGGAGGCCTTAGTCCTCGGCTTGGGTGACCCGGGTTCCAATCCGGCCTGTGGTCCTTTACCCCTCTATCATACCCCCTTTTCGGGCAGCCTACTGTCCATAAAAAAAAACGAGCCACTAGTGCCGTAAAAACTCTAAAATAAATAATAAAAACAATTGCATTGTTTTATTTCAAATGCATGTTATCTAATGATCTTATTTTAAGAATAAAAATACTAATTCCATTGGCAAATCATCTTATTTACTTACTTAAATTCAGGGAAAAAAGGTTTAGTGGAGGATGTTATTTTTTCTGGGTGGATCATCAAAATAAGTGGTCCTCCTAATTGTCAATCATTCTTGAGATTTATTTACGTAAGGCCGCCCTACATGCTCATCCCCATTTTCCCTTGCAGATGGTGAGTCTGGAATAGTGGAAAAATTGCAAATCTTCTTTCGGAAAGTAAGCTTGTTTGAGCGATGCAAACAGCAACTTTTAAACAGAGCGTGCATGAGGAGAAATTGGCTCGTGCACACTCTTGCACGCTTTAATAGGCGTTCCCTCTTGGGAGCGGGTACAGGGTTGTGCACGTGCCTTTGTTTATTAAGTGGAGAGGGCGGGTCTTTTAAAAAAATTGCGAAAATCCTCCACTAAACCTTTAAGAATGTTTTACTTATTTTTAGATTAGATTTTTGTTTTAGATTTTTCAGTGTGAGGGTTTGCAAACAAGAACCCCGAGCAACATCTAGTGATTTGCTCCTTAAGTATAAACACAATCAACAAATTCCTGTCAATCTTGGATGACATAAGGAAGCTTTAAAGCTTCCTAATGTAGTGTTTCGTTGTAAGTGTGCGGGTTGCGCTGTACAGGCCCCCTTGGTTTTGCCAGAACATTAGGTATATGGCCACAAAGCTGCAGATGTTAATATATCTGCATCAATCTAACGTTACACTGAACCTGTGAGCCGCGATCTTCCCTCCGCTCCAAAAGAAATGCCTCCCGATACCATGATGCAACTACAGTCGTGTCTTTTGTTTAGCGTTTGCTCTGTGAAACTGAGCTACTGAGCCTAAATCCACTGAATCTTGTCAGGGAAAAGTTCTGGAATAGTGAATACTTCTTGTTTTTGTCTTGTGTTTCAGTTGGGGATTGTTGGAAGAACGGGAGCTGGGAAAAGCTCCCTGATCTCTGCTCTGTTCCGCCTGGCAGAACCTCAGGGGCAGATCTACATCGATGGCCTTTTGACCTCTGACATGGGTCTCCATGACCTGCGCCAGAAGATGTCCATTATCCCTCAGGTGAGCAGAAAGAAACCAACAGGCGGCACACACAACCGCTAAACCCCCCGCTACAACCGTGAAGCAGCTTTGCGGCTTGTGGGTCTGTAAGGAAATAGGGAGCAGATCAAAGCTGGAAGGAAATGAAAACAAGTTGAGTAACCGTTATAGATCGGTTATTTTTACCTGCTGTTTCGACCCTGCAGGCTGTGGCTCAGGGTTTCACCCACATGACACCAGCTAACTGGATACAGATGGATCCGGTATGCCCTGGAATGTCTATTGGATTTATTAAAGCTGTAGCAGCATCCGTCATCGTTTTTGGAAAGCTGATATTTTACCCTCAGCTAAAGGACATTTAAGGAAGCATCAACTTTAAGTAGAAATAAAACCAGGAAATGGGGAAGGCAGGATGGAGTCAAGCGACAGCAGGAGGCTCTAAAGCTCTGGAGTAGGACTCTCTGTTCCTCCACTCATAATCGAACCCTTCTCACCCGCACTTACAAAACTCTGCTTGAATAAGCTGAAGATGACATAAGATGGACCTTTATTAGTCCCACAAATGGGCAACAGTAGAAGATAAATGTAACAGAGACCTAGCTAAAAATACATTTTAGATATAATACAGGTAACACTTTAAAATAGGGTACACAAAATTGTATTAACTACTATAGAGCACCTAGAGAAGTCAAAGAGAACCAACGGGTAGTAAACCCTATTTACTGGGTAACACTTATTCCAGCCTCATTACGGGACTGCTGCTTCGTTACCTAGGAAACAGAGTACCTCATCAGGAACTAATTTGTTGTTTTACTTTTCTTAAAGAGACATTATGTAATTTTTTATTGAAAAGTGTATTTGAGCCTTTTTGAGTAAAACATAGATTGATGAGCAGACTGACACCAACAGTTCAGCACCGATGCATCTATAAGCCTGTAGCTTATATTCCTGCCAGAGGTTCCTGCCCCATGACGTCATGTTGAACGGGTCCAACCTGCACTGGAAAAAATCGAAACCTAGATAAGTCATTTTTTCTTAAAATAATTGCATTTGTTCTTGGATTGAGGAGGTAAAAGAGACATTTTGCCAATGGAACAAGACAATTTACATTTAAAATAAGAAAACACAACTGCATTGTCTTATTTCAAGTGCATTTTATCCAATTGTCCTATTATAAAAGTTAAAATACTCATTTCATTGGCAAATTATTTCATTTACCTACTCAAAGTAAGGGTAAATACGCTTAATTTAAAAAATGTTTGCTTCTAGATCGTGAGAAAAAGATTATTTAGTTAGTACATGAATCTTTTTATTGCGTTTTATAATTATCTCCTTTCTTTTATCTTTTCTCCTTTTTCTGTTTTTCTTTTCCTGTTCTACTTACATTGCAGTGTCCATAAAATCCATAATGCTCCCTGCATGAATTATAATAAAGCAATTTATATGCATTAATCAAGCGGAACACTATGGCGATAGCCGTAGTGCTATACTTGTGAAAGCAAAATCTTGTCTCTTTTTGGCATCAAGACAATTAATCTTATTACCACATTGCTAGACAGGACACTGTTCAAAAAAAAAAAAAAAAAAAGTTAGTACATGCATCAAAAGCAACTTAGAATTTTTTACATTTACTTATACAAATCACACCATTTTTAATTTATTGAATATGTGGCAGTTTTGATTTTCCATACCTGCTTCAGTTGCAATTTTTCCCCATTTATAGATTTCTGCCTGTGAATAATGTTTAGATTTGGGCGTAAAATGTTATGCAGTGGAAGCCCAACTGCAGAACTGTCTACTTTTTTCACGTGCATAGCTGCACCCGTCCAAAGATAGACAACAAATCCTTGACAGAAACTGCTGCGTTTTTAAATTGCGCCATTATTGTTTACAAGCTGCGAGCGCCTGCACAGAGAGCAGACTTTCTTCCGGTTGAGAGCGATCCAAGTGAAGCTGTTCCTGAGGTATACGGTGCTTTCCTTAGGTGAAAGCCGCTGTACTGGTTCTGTTAGTGATGGAGCTGCTGCCTGGCAGAGGAAGGAAAGGAAGATTTAGGAAGGCCACTGTCTCTACCTGCAGCAGAGCGAGCCTTATGTATCTTGATGGACCTTGATAAAGACGCTGCAACAGCGGCGTAACCATTTAGAATGAATTTAGAAGGAATGGCAGGTGGATGATTGGAAGAAAGTAATAGTAGATACTAGATAATAATAATTTTCTTATAGATAATAATAATGTAAATAATAATCATTTTGTATCGATGCATCGATTAAC